ATTTATTAACACACATGGAATCAATACCCACATCGTCCTGCATCAATTTCTCATCTATTTTTAGTGTTCATTTTTGTCTCAGAGAAAGTCACCAAATATATCCCAGCTTTTATAAACAATTTTTAAAAATGAGTACAAAACCATGAGTTAGATCCTTGACTCCTCATTTCTAATAACCTGGATGACAATGATTAGAATTTACAAATTTATTTTTTTGTTGTTGCTGTTTGTTTTTGTTGTTGTTGTTTATTGCAGTAACATTGGCTTATAACATTGTATAAATTTCAGGTGTACATCATTATACTTCAATTTCTGCATGGATTACATTATGTTCTCATGCTCACCACCTAAATATGAATTACAATCCATCACCGCACACATGTGCCTAATTATCCCTTTCACCCTCCGCCCTCCCCCCTTCCCCTCAGGTAACCACCAATCGAATCTCTGTCTCTATGTGTTTGTTTGTTGTTATTATCTACGAATTAATGAGTGAGATCATACAGTATTTGACCTTCGCCCTCTGACTTATTTCACTTTGCATAATACCCTCAATGTCCATCCATGTTGTCACAAATGACTGGATTTCATCTTTTCTTATGGCTGAGTAGTATTCCATTGTGTATAAATACCACATCTTCTTGATCCATTCTTCCCTTGATGGACACTTAGGGTGCTTCTACAACTTGGCTATTGTGAATAACGCTGCAATGAACAGAGGGGTACATGTATCTTTACGCATTGGTGTTTTCACGCTATTTGGATAAATACCCAGCAGTGGAATAGCTGGATCATATGGTAGTTCTATCCTTAATTTTTTAAGGAATCTCCATAGTGTTTTCCACAGTGGCTGCACCAGTTTGCACTCCCACCAGCACTGTATGAGAGTTCCCTTCTCTCTACATCCTCTCCAACACTTGTTGTTTCCTGTCAATTAATAGCCATTCTAACGGGCGTGAGGTGATATCTCATTGTAGTTTTGATTGCATTTCCCTGATAATTAATGATGCTGAACATCTTTTCATGTGCCTGTTGGCCATCTGTGTATCTTCTTTTGAGAGATGTCTGTTCAGACATCTCTGTTTGATTTAAAAATGTTTGCCCATTTTTAAAATGGTTTGTTAGTTTTTTTTCTTGTTAAGATGTACGAGTTCTTAATATATTTTTGAGATTAACCCCTTATCAGATGTATGGTTTGCAAATATCTTCTCCCAATTGTTAGGTTGTCTTTTTGTTTTATTGGTGGTTTCCTTTGCTGTGCAGAAGCTTTTTAGTTTGATGTAGTCCCATTTGTTTATTTTTTCTATTGTTTCTCTTGCCCGGTCAGACATGGTGCTTGAAAATACGCTGCTAAGACCGATGTTGAAGAGTGTACTGCCTATGTTTTCTTCTAGAAGTTTCATGTCTTCCACTCAAG